ATGGGCACGAAAAAAAACTAAGAACAAAATGGAAAAAAGATCAGAAATGTAGATGGAGGAGGGCACCAAAAAAGCGAAACAAAAAAACAGAAACGTGCACTCCTATATCAGGACTGCGGATTTTCTCAAGAAAAAAAAGTGGATTAGGTCTTTTTACTTTTTTTGTTTTTATTTTCTTTCCTTCTTTTAGTATTTTCTTATCTTTTCTCAATGAGTAAAGTGCACTGGCGGTCCTCGAACTTGTTCGACTGTGTGCCATCCCGTTCCCTATACTCGCAAATCGACTATTGAAGTCTTCAAACTTGTTTATCTGAGTTATCCTAGCCCCTAAACTCTTAAATCACTCGTTTATGTCATCAAACTTGTTCGCATGTACCATCTAGATCCCAAAACTTGCAAATCACCCATTTAATTCCTCAAACTTATTTTGTTGTGTCATCTCGGTCTCTAAATACTATAAACTTATAAATTCAATATATATTTATAGAACTGTCCAAAAATTATAAATCTAATTTTGTTAGACTACTGTAACTTATACTTTAAATTAGAATAAAAGAAATAATCATGTATTTTCTATTTTTAACTCTATAGTTCAATAACAAAATAGGCACATACATTTTTAGGATTTATAAAAATTTACGTGACTATTTACTCATTTAACTACAGAGTTAAAATAGAAAGTACATGGTGATTTCTTTTAATCTAATTGTCGACGAAAGATGCTCGCCAGTCCACCGAGGGCTATCCCGCGATGGTAGATTTGTCGGTGGAGGTGCGCGTAATCAGAAACCGGATAGTGACACAAGGCGCAGAGACAACGATTTAGACAGGTTCGGGCCGTCTGCTCGACGTAATACCCTACGTCCAGTGTCTTTGGACTATTGTATTGATTGTATATCAGATTCGATATATCGTATAGGGAACCCCTGCCTCTCTGTATATACTCAGGAGGGGTAGGGTTAAAAGAAAAATATCATATTTGGTGCTATCTTATTGTAGCCTTGCGGTGCACGCTGACCAGTGCCGTGCGCCGCACGCCTTGATCTTGTGGGCTATGCCACCTCTGATGGTGCGGCCCATGTCTTGTCTTGTGGGTACTGGGGGCCATACCCCCACAGCTAGTCCTCGAGCGCCTTGTATCCTTTTATCAACGCTATCTTAAATAAGTCCGAGCAGTTTGACGTGAAGCCGACCAGTTTAACTAGTGACCTGAGCGGTGAAAATTAAAGCCGACCAGTTTAGCTGGTGACCTGAGCGGTGAAAGTCAATGCCGACCAGTTTAACTGGTTAGGAGATCTCGGACTTAGCCAAGTAAGGCTTACCAGAAGGATGTAAGGGGCTCAAGATAAAATTTAAAAATTCTTCCACCTAGGAGAATTGTAGTCACTTAGACTCCGTCAATAAGGAGGGTAAATCAAGAAGTAAGCACTACATTCACCGCCAGTTGAAGTGTAGCCACTTAGTCCCCAAGTCTGCTGGAAGATGAAGAATGAATCTTATAGCAGGGTCAAAGAAAAGAAGCCTAAAAGCTTGTCGACATCATCTAACATGCGCGTATCAAGACCCCAGATGTGCTGCCCAAGACCAGCACCCTGATCCGAATAGCATGTAGCAACTTGATAGCACACCGATGAGACGTAGCAAGATCCGACCACCAAGGGAGTCCCCAGCTTAGCTGGTGACTCTCGCATGAAGAATCCGAGCATTGAGGAGTCCCGGTGTAGCTGGTGACGTTTGCACGAATGATTCGAGCACCGAGGAGTCCCTGGCATAGCTGATGACGCTTGCACGAAGAATCCGAGCACCGATGAGTCCCCGGCGTAGCTGGCGACGCATGCACGTAGAATCCAAGCACCGAGGAGTCCCCGGCGTAGCTGACGACGACGTGTGTGCGTAGAATCCGAGCATCGAGGAGTCTCTCGGTGTAGCTGGCGATGCTTGCACGTAGAATCCATGCACCGAGGAGTCCCCCACGTAGGTGGCGACACTTGCACATAGAATCCGAGCACCGAGGAGTCCTCGGCATAGCTGGCGACACATGCATGTAGAATCCGAGCATCGAGGAGTCCCCGACGTAGCTGGCGACGCGTGCACGTAGAATCCGAGCACCGAGGAGTCCCCTCGGTGTAGCTGGCAATGCGTGCACGTAGAATCCGAGCACCGAGGAGTCCCCGACGCAGCTGGCGACGCGTGCACGTAGAATCCGAGCACTGAGGAGTCCCCAACGCAGCTGGCGACGCGTACACATAGAATCCAAGCACCGAGGAGTCCCCGGTGTAGCTGGCGACGCTTGCACGTAGAATCCGAGCACCGAGGAGTCCCCGATGTAGCTGGCGCGTGTGCACATAGGATCCGAGCACCGAGGAGTCCCCGGTGTAGCTGGTGACGCGTGCACGTAGAATCCGAGCACCGAGGAGTCCCCGGCGTAGTTGGCGATGAAGCCCATGCGATGATTAGTCCAACCAACTGATCGGTGGCGAAGTGAGCATTGAGTAGAAGTGACCGATGAGTAGTTCTATCAACTGGTCGGCGATGAAGTCCATAAACCTAGCGGTCCAACCAGTTGATCGACGGAGAAGTCCGAGCGCTAGGTGGTCTGACCACCTAGACGATGATCCTACAATACAAATATGTAGAACGTGTAGTACATGATGTAAAATAAAATATATGAACTCCGGAGAAGAATCAGCAATGGTGACGAAATAGCGTATGCAGCTTGACGATCAGTTGGTGTGAACACTTAGTGTTATTCTGAAGATGTGTTTATATTTAATATAAATCACCTGACCAGTTAATGTGTAGCTGAGTCTCCAGCCCTAACTAGCCTGCTAACCATAACGCGGAGCGCGGAGCCCGTGTGCGTGTAGGAAAAACAAAGCGTCGCCAAGGAGCCGCTGTCGACCACCCGTAACGCAGAGGGTAGACGCTCGTGCACGTGTAGGGAGAAGCCAAAGACAGGGCCATCTCTGGGGACATCCGAGCGTCAACATGACTGTTTGGGGATTTGCCTTAGACTTAACTGTATGTCATCTTTAAGATGGTATACATGAAAGAAAACCGTTTGGAGAACAAACATGGAGAAAACAGCTCGGAGAAACATTATGGCGATATATGAAGATTGGAGAATATTTCGAAGAATATTAAAGTGTGACTTAGCTTTAGACGGAACATATAGTTGGTGGCGTATGGCGTTATCTGGTCGGCGTCGACGAAATTGCCTGGCCCTTGAGCTTTCCGAACTGTCGTCATGGTGGCGGTCGCGGTTGTCATGGCGTCGTTCTTCGTGGCGATCATCATTGTGACGCGACAGGTAGTCAGAGTAAGTAGTCCGGGCAGCTCGCTTAGCGGCTCTGGCGGGAGAGCGGAGTCGTAGTAGATTGATTCTGTTGCCGAGTTGCCGCCGTATGGTGGAATCGAGGTCTACCATCTGGCTCGCCATGAGATCAAGCGCACACTCTACCTGACGCGCCAACTGTCGACAGAAGATGCTCAGCAGTCCACCGAGGGGTATCCCGCGATGGTAGATTTGTCGGTGGAGGTGCGCGTAATCAGGAACCGGATGGTGACACAAGGCGCTGAGACAACGATTTAGACAGGTTTGGACCGTCTGTTCAACGTAATACCCTACGTCCTGTGTCTTTGGTGTATTCTATTGATTGTGTATCAGATTTGATATATCGTCTAGGGGGCCCCTGTCTCTCCTTATATACTCTGGAGGGGTTAGGTTACAAGAAAAATATCCAATTTGATATTATCTTATTGTAGCCTTGCGGTGCACGCTGACCAGTGCCGTACGCCGCACGCCTTGATCTTGTGGGCTGGGCCACCTCTGATGGTGCGGCCCATATCTTGTCTTGTGGGTACCGAGGGCCATACCCCCACACTAATTTAAAGTACAAGTTACGAGGAGTCTAACAAAATTATATTTATAATTTTGGGGCAGTTATATAAATATATATTGAATTTACAAGTTTATAATAGAGTAAAATGCACCACAGGTACTCAAATTATTGTGTGGTTCCCAAATAGGTACTCGAACTAAAAAAACTACCAACTAGGTACTGGATCTATATTTTTTGTCACCAACAGCACAAGATTAGGCCACGCAGGCAACAACAGCTTAGGCGGACAAGCCACGTAGGCACCAGCATCGCAATCGTCATGGGATTTTTGCTGAACCCCCCCCCCCCCGCCGAACGTGGCCGATCACTTCTTGGTCCCTAGGTGCAATACGGCTGAAATCCCTCCCGTCCCTGAAGTCTCCCGTGCCGGTCTTCTCTCTCTCTCTCTCTCTCGTATTCTCTCGATACACCGCCGCCGCCCGTGAAATCACCGCCGCTCGGCCCTCCCAGTCTTGCCGCCGCCGGCCCCTCCATTCTCGCCGCCCCCCTCCCCCATAATCTCATCGCCACCCGCCTCCCTCCAGTCTCGCCGCTGCCCGCCTCCCCATCTCTCCGTGTGCTCGTGAGGGGTGTGCTCGGCGGGGGTCAGATGGGGGCGAGAGGCCTCATGAGGGGCGCGGTCGCCACGCTCCGCGAGCGGGTGCCGCGAGTAGGCCAAGGCCAAGGACGTCGTCGCCATCACAAGAATCAGGTGTGTCCATGTGCCTCCCTCCATGGACAACAAGATTCTAGTAGTAATAAGGAAAATAAAGAGGTTTGGTTGAAGTCGTGGGAGGTGTGGCATGGCGCGGCATGGCACCATGGCCGGTCGCCGGCGATTGGAAGGGGAACCAGCACCTGTTTATGGTAAGTGCCGCAAACTTGGTGTGGTAGTACATGGATTTGATGCATAGATTGGGTTGTCAGGGCAAAGCACTGAACTTTAGGTTTATCTGAATGTTTAGGGCCTGATGATGATGAGTTCTCTGTGGAAATACATCATGGGGGATTTTTCTGTGGGTCTGGTAAAGATCAGATTTATCTTGATGGCAAGGTTGATTGGTTTGACCATATCAAAGAGAAGTATTAGCGTTTTTCGCAGTTGATGAGATTAGTGTGATGTTAGGTTATGGACTTGACAATGTGGAGGTGTACTGGTTGTTGCCTGAGATGGTTGTGCCTACTGGTTTGAGAATTGTAGACTCAGATACAGATACACAAATCATGAACCAATTTGCATATAAGATCAAAAACTTTGTGATCTACTTTGATATCTATAATTCATTTGACAAAGACATTGTGTTGAATCCAATTGGTACACTACCCAAAATGTTAAGTCCTAGGAAGGTGCCACCTGAAAGAGATGATGTGGACAACAACAACAACAACAGTGACAATGATGGCAGTATAGATGGGTACTTCTTAGACAGTGACTATGAAGTTGATGATGATGATGATGACCTATTCTATGACAATGTTGATGATGGGGTGGTTGATGAGGGTGCAACCAAGGGCATTGTAGTCAGCAAAGGGAACAAGAGAAATGCGCCATATGGCAAAGATAAGATGGCAACGGTTAGGGAATGGGATGAGCTGTCATCTGATGAGGATGAGTTGGAGTTACCAGCTGAGGAAGAGGCCTAGGTTGGGATGAATTTGAAGACCTTCAGGCCAGAGGACCTGCAGAACCCTATTTTTAAAATTGGAATGAAGATTGCATCAGTACAACTGCTAAGAAAGGCTATTACAGAATATAGTATCAAACATAGGGTGGACATAAAGATGCCATGGAATGACAAGACCAGAATCAAAGTTCATTGTGATGTTGGTTGTCCATGGTACTTGTATGCTTCATTTGATTCTAGGATGGAATGTTTCTTGATCAAATCTTATGTTGGTGATCACCATTGTCAGAAGAAATGGGTGCTTAAGAGGTGCATTACAAAATGGCTAGCTAACAAGTACTTGGACAAGTTTAGGGCTGATGAGAAGATGAGCCTGACCAATTTTGGAAGGACAGTTCAGTTGGAGTTGAACTTGACCCCCTCTAGGATGAAGCTGAGTAGGGCAAGAAGGATGGCATGGAACATCATTTATGGAGATGAAGTGCAGCAATTCAATCTTCTTTGGAACTATGGTCATGAACTCAGGAAGTCAAATCTAGGTAGTAGCTTCTTTCTGAACTTGCTTGATGGCTACTTCAGTTCACTTTATGTGTCTTTCGATGCTTGTAAGAGGGGTTTCCTCAGTGGATGCAGGCCAGTGATATGTCTAGATGGCTGCCACATCAAGACTAAATTTGGGGGACAGCTACTCACTGCTGTAGGCATAGACCCAAATGATTGTATCTTTCCTGTAGCCATGGCAGTGGTAGAGGTAAAGTGTCTAGCATCATGGAAGTGGTTCCTAGAGACACTAAAACAGGATCTTGGCATAGACAACACCACTCCTTGGACCATAATGACAGATAAACAAAAAGGACTAATCCCTGCTGTCCAGCAAGTTTTCCCTGACTCTGAGCATAGGTTCTGTGTTAGGCATCTGTACTCAAACTTCCAAGGCCACTTCAAAGGGGAAAACTTGAAGAATGAACTATGGGCATGTGCTAGAGCAAGTACAGTAACAAGGTGGAACCAGGAAATGGAGAAAATGAAAGTGCTCAACAAGGATGCCTATGCATGGTTAGAGAAGATGCCACCAAATACTTGGGTTAGAGCCTTTTTCAGTGAGTACCCAAAATGTGATATCCTGTTAAACAACACCTGTGAAGTTTTCAACAATTACATCTTGGAAGCTAGAGAACTGCCTATCTTGACCATGATATAGAAGATCAAGTCCCAACTAATGGTCAGGCATTACAATAAATAGAAAGAAGTGACTGAGAAATGGGTAGGAATGGCCATATGCCCAAAGATCAGGAAAAAGTTAGCTAGGCATGCTGATTTCTCCAACACATGCTATCCTATACCAAGTGGGAATGGTATCTTTGAAGTTCATGACCAAGAGTGGCAGTATGTGGTTGATCTTATGGGCAAAAATTGTGAATGCAGAAGGTGGCAGTTGACAGGCATACCATGCAGCCATGCCATTTCTTGCCTGAAGCATGAAAGAATCCTAGAAGATTCAATGCTCCCAAATTGTTACTCCATTGATGCATTCAAAAATGCATATGGCTGCACCATATATCCATGTTCTGAAAAATCTTCCTGGGAGAATGTTGGAGGTCCAGAAGTGCAGCCACCTAAGTATGAGAAGAGGGTAGGCAGACCACCTAAGGCAAGAAAAAGGGCAGCACATGAAGTTCAAGGTCCTAATGGACCAAGGCTGTCCAAACATGGAGTAATCATGCACTACAACCATTGTGGACAAACTGGTCATAACTCAGCTAGGTGTGAAGCAAAGAAGGCAGGCCTACCAGCTATTAAGAAAACAAAAAAACCAACTAGAACTGCTACTACAACTACAACTGAGCCAGAGCAACAACCAAGTTATGAGGTGAGTCATTCCTAGGTATGTGCACAGCCACAACCATACATTTTACATGTGCAAATGTAACTATCTAACTTTATTATTGGTTTAGGAGGTGACTAACCTAGTTGAGGTACCAATAATGTCCCAAGTAGAGAACCCCATGCTGTCACAACTACTAGATGAGGTACCAGTAATGTTCATTTCAGTTTCAGTCACAACCATTTATTACTGGCATATCACAAAACTGATGTAACCTATTGTATTCAGGCTTCACAGAACAGGGCACATTCCATCTACTTCACCATTGCCAGACTCTACCTACATCATTTCCAACCTCCCACCAGCAAGGCATACTCCACTTACAACAGCAACAAAGACTGGAAGGACCTCAAGGACCAAGATAGTGAAGAACAATGGTGTTGCCCCTAGTAAGAAGATAGGTAAGACCAAGAGAGGTCAATCTGGACAGTAGGATAGCCCAGACAACACTTTAGGTAGTCTTTTGTGTAGGAAATATAGTTGCCTTTTGTCCAGCAACTATACGTTGCCTTTTGTCCAGCAACTATAGTTGCCTTTTGTGTAGTGATCTCATATAGGTATAGATCATTTGTAGCAACTTGCTGTTTTCTTAGCATATGTAATGGAAGCAACAAAACAATTCCTAGTTTGCTGATGACATCTTGGCTGTAATGACCACAACTATGGAAATAAATGGTTTCTCAGTCAATATATGTCACTGTGAATGGATGGATTGTAACACCCTAGGTGTTTGGCTTCTACTAATTGCATTTCATTTCATAAACATGTGCATCATCTATCTCATCATGCCTTTGTTACTGAAACATGCATATGCAACATTTTCCAATTGTGTATGTTTCATACTTGAGTGTTGTGAATAGTAATGGTGTAACATGTGAATGCAACATGCGTTTCTCATACCTGGAAACATGGCAACATGGTAGTAATGTGACAAGTATAGAATAACAACAAAGTCATGCAACATGTGAAACATTGCATTGCAACATATGAGTGAATTGCTTGTTTTAGTTGCTTTATCACATGTGATCATTAAAAGTTGGTATAACAATTTTGTAAAGTGGTTGATTATGGTCTATTACACCTTAACTATACTTAGGTTACTTGTTGGGACATTGTTCATGTAGATCAAAATGACCAAAATGCCCTCAAGTGGAGGTTTGATTTGAATTGACCCTTGGAGTGTCCCTGTTTAACTGATTCAAAAGACCAACTTGGAAACTTTGCATGGCTATACACTCTTTACAAAAGTTCTAGTTAATTTATTAAGGAACAAAAGTTGTTTTATGATCAACTCATGAAAATGTGTGGAACATGCTCAAACATGGTCCCACAAGTCAGAATTTCATGCTGATTTGAACAATGAAAAATATTCTAAGTCATGACTGCAATTTCAGTGTGATTGAGCAATCTTTGGCTTGATGTAACTTCCGATCCATGACGAATTAGGTCGTGGTCCTTGAAAAAAAATTGTCGATGGGTGGTACACCTACAAATTTCATGTACATAGTTTTTGCCATGGGTCATTGGTTTAGCCGTGTTGACACGAGGAATACTCACTGTCAGTCGGATCAATCGAGGACTGAATCGCCGTTTTCAGAAAAATGGTCAGTGAGCACGGTGGCCGACCGGCTCAGGCGACGCTCGCTGCGTGGCACGCAGGCTCTGCCGAAGGCTCCACGTCGCGCGCCCGAGCTCCAAAAGAAGGCCAACTCCTCGCCACTCTCACTGCGTCTCGCCATTTCCCTCACTGCCGTCTCCTTCCTCCGCGCGCACGGCAACCGGGACACCGTGACGCCGCCGAGCCAAATCCACCATCACCGAGCGCCATTAACCGATTCATCCAAGCCACAGCCCCGCCGTGACCTTCGGGCTGGCCCAGCAGTAGAGTTAGGTTTTCCTTTTTGTTTTGTTTAATTGTTTTTCACAAGATTTATGTATAGATTCAAAAATGTGTAACTCAAGTTTGGTAGATCCAAATGTTATGGTTCCAATTTTATTGAGTTCCTGGTAAGATCTAGTATTTAATAAAAATATTATATGAGCACATGTTTTAGAAATTCTGGATGAATTAAATAGGACTTCGAAATGTATTTTTGGATACATGCAAACTTGTTTGAATTTTATCTTGAGTTTCTTTGGTCCAAAAATGATGAAATTTTGTGGGTAATCTATTATTACTTAGTAGAATCTTTGGTTAAAATTTCAGAGCTAGTGCATGTGTAGTTTTTGAGTTATAGAATTTCTTTTTATCAATGGGTGGATCTTGTGTGAATTTTTATAATTTTTCTATAGATCCAGTATAGGTAAAATTTGGTGAGTATGGTTCTTATGCTAGAATGATGCTAGGAAAAATGTGAAATCTGTTGCTTGACACTTTTCATTAGGGTTTTCTAATTATGCTAAAAATAGGCGTGCCACCTGTTATTTTGGATACAACAAGTTCTGCTTACTCAATGGCTTTAAAATTTTTATGGTAGTCTATGTGAAGCATGAGATAGCTACTGTAATTTTTGTAGATTTTTCTGAATAGTTTTACTATATATTGCTTTAATCACCTAATTAACTAAAGAAATTAGAAAAGGGCATTAAATAAATTGTTTAGAAGTTGGCACTAGACTTTATGATGTTTCTTTAGTATGCAAAACATGTTGGTAAACTTAGGTTGGTCAAATTATGCTTTTGCATCATCATTAAATAATTAATTTAGTAACCCTGTTATTTCTGGATAGATTCTAGGTTTACTGGAATTCGATTTGGTTAACTTAAGAATCATGCTTTGATGTTTACAAATGATTTGTAGAGAATTTCATAAGCTTTCCAGAATGTCCTCATGCAAGTCATTTGGATTTGTAGAACTCCGGTTGTGATTGAATTAAGGGACTACTTGTGTGCATATGAAGCTTTAAATGTTGATTTATGTATGCCTTTACTATTTCTAAGTTGTGGTAATGTTCCTAGGTGTTAGGCCTTTAACTGAAGATGAGCATCTTTATCTTAGGTTATGCAAGTTAGGTAAGTTGATCTTGTTCTCCAAGTTAAGTTAGATACCTGTTTTAAAGTGATTTGAATAGAGCTATTCTTAATCGGTAAACGAGTGTCCAGTAATGTTTTCGTTAAACACTTACTGTGATCCATTCATCATGAGCATCATGTCATTCCTTATGCATCCATGATATTTATCTTGTGCATCGGCATGCAATAGGTGTACCGGAAGGAGTGACCCTACTGGAATTCGAGGAACCGAGCGAGAAAGAAAGCAGGCCGATAACCGGAGGTTCGGAGAGGTGCACCTTTAGAAGAAGTGTGCGACGAGGTCGCTGTTGAGTGCCCGGATCACCGTCGTGCAACTTTGTGAAAGGCAAGCCCAGAGCATATTAAGCCTCCTAATTTCGAAATGCGATTATGATATTATTGTTATATATATTGTTGCATTAAGTTTAGGTGTTAGATGCAAACACTTGTCGCATTGGTTATCCAATTCTTGTCAGATATTGTTACCGAATCCTATGTAGCTCGGTGCTCGTGTAGTGCTTAGCCCTGCTCAAACACGGTAGAAGTCGGTGATTTCGTCACCTACGAGATATAGGAAGATACATATGGCACGGTTGGCTATATTTGCTATCGTGGAAAAGAACCGATCTTAATCGAAATGAAGACCGGACGGAGGCTTGCCGGTTTGCAAAGTGACTCTATCTGCAGGTCGATTAAGGACTGAATATTGGAGCCTTTCTGTTCATGTTGAACGCATGCCTCTCTCTTAGTTGGTCGTGTCCGATGACCGACCACGAAGCCGAGTAGCTCACCTCGGCCGGAGTCGATAAGTATAAAATGCGCTCGGAAGGGAGCCGAGGCGTGAGTCCAAGGCGGGTGATTTAAAAGTCCCGATTGTCTGGCGTAAGGGTAATCCCTGAGAGCGCTGGCGCTGATCGAACCCGCGAATTTGGTTCCTGAGTTGTTCCAAAGGTGACCCACGGCTATCCTTGCAAAGTATGCCAGGGTGAGAGTTAGGAATACCCCCTCAGCTGAGTTGTAATTCGATTCGAGTCGCCGTCTCTCCCGGTTAGTAAGAACTTAACGGGCTTACCTCCAATGTAGATACACTAAATAACATAATGGTTCAGAATTGATGATATGATGATGACAGTCTTATTATACCTGCTATGGTTAATATTGTTTGCTCCTAATAAGTGAGTGCTCTAGTATAGGTGCTAATCTAGTGGACAGGTAAATGATGATAAGATTGATGCTAAGTTTAAATTGGTTACTATAATCATAAGCTCTTTATGCAACTGTGTCAAGCTAGCCCACCTGAAAAGCCTTGCATGGCCCTTGGTGTCTTTTATTTCTGGTTTTGACGGGTAAGTCTAGCTGAGTACCTTCTCGTACTCAGGGTTTATCTCCCACCTGTTGCAGATGACCAGTTCTACTTTGGTTGCTGCAAGTACATTCTTCTCCCAGCTGGGGATGAAGACTAGACCGTTGGGTGCGGTCTCTACTAGTTCTCGTACCTGATAATGCTTTTGTGGGACATGACTCAGACTTGGCAATGTATTTGAAAACTATGATGTTTTGTACTAAACTATGTTGCTTCCACACACTCAAACTTGGTTTGTAATATGTTATTTGAACTCTGATGGATGTAATTCAAATGTTACTTGTGAAATGTTGTAACGAATGATGTGTTGTGTTGAATCACTACGATCTTGGTTTGTATGTCGAGAGTTGGTTGAAATCCTTCGTGATTTTCGGACTACCGGGATTATGGGAGCTTAAGTACAGGAATTTGATCGCTTCGGTGATTGTTTTTGTACTTACGTTCTTATGATTTGATCGGTTCTATTACATGGATGGTTCGGATGGTGTGTTCTCTTAGCATATAAAATGGGACCTGTGAATGTGAATGGATGGTTAGGCTGGGTGGTTTTCTTAGCATATGTAATGAACTGTGAATGTGAATGGATGGTTTGGTTGGGGGTTTTTAGCAAAATGGGCGTCTAGGGTGGCTTGGACATGAGTTGATGTTGCCTACGTGGCCAAGTTAGTACTGCTAGTGACCAAAAAATATAGATCTTGTACCTAGTAGGTAGATTTTTCTGTTCGAGTACCTATTTGGGAACCACATAATAGTTTGAGTACCTATGGTGTATTTTACTCTTTATAATATTTAGGGACCGGGATAACATAACTGAATAAGTTTAAGGACTTAAAATGAGTGATTTGCAAGTTTAGAGATTTAGATGATACAACCGAACAAGTTTAAGAACCTAAATGAGCGATTTGAGAGTTTAAGGACTGGGATGACATATATGAATAAATTTGAGGACATAGAACGGTCGATTTGACGCAGCCTTCGGACCATCGGTGCCCTTTGCTCTTTCACAATCTTCAGC